TAAAGTAATGTACTCTCTTAATGCTCATTAATGCACACTCTTCTGCATTTCAGTTGGTTTGGTGTGCAAATTTAGTTGTCACTAAGCATAATGTTGTTTAAAGTGAAGTGATGGTCTTGCCTATTCCCAACACGTTGTTCCCTTAACCCCTTCATGCCTAAGGGTAAAACAAATTTAAATGCCTAAGCACAATTTTGCAAAATGTGTTAGTAAAACCGTACATATCATCGCAACTACTTTGTACATCCAGGTGAATTATACTGTGTTTTTTTCAGGACAAATTGGGCTTTCAATTGGTGGTAAATGGTAATGGTTATTTCCTGATTTTTTTTTCTATTATCAAAGGAAAACAGGCCCAAAATAGTAAAAAAAAAAATTTTTTTTTGTTTTAGCTGTGTGTTTCTTGTTACTACCATAACCTACCACCAAAGAACAACCCAAAATAAATTCTCCAGCTCTTGATGATTGCAGCAATACCATATATGTGTATGTTATTTGTTGTTTATACCAGTAGTACAGCCCAGAAACAATAGTACAAATTTTGTTTTTTTGTCCTTTTTTTTTTTAACCTAAAACACACTGACACTGACACCAATTTTTTTTTTCAATCCTTTGACCCTGACCTTTTTCCTTTGACCCTGACATTGACCCAAACACTAACCCTGGCAATGAACTAGATCTAGCTTGATCCAGGTATTTTTTTTATTATTTATTTTCTTTATTTTTTTTTACAAACATTTTTTTTCTCTCTATGCCAGGAGTTAGAGAGATAAAATGTATCTCTCTCCTCCATTTATAGAGAGAAAAAAAAAACAAGGGGGCCAGGCTGTACAGTGACTGATCACTGTGATGGCCAATCAGAGGCTATCACAGCGATCATGTGACCCGGAATCGGGGGTCCCAATCGTTAGAACGGGACCCGGGGCTCTCAGTGTCTTTGTGTTGAGATCAAGCTGTGCAGTGTGCTCCCACCACAAAGACAGGTACGCAAATATGCGGCCCCACGGAAAAAAGCCCAGTTCCATGAGGCCGCATATTTGTGTGACGTCGGCGTCAAGGGGTTAAAGGATAAGTTCACCTTTTGACAAAAATAATAAATTCACATTTTTTTACCTGCAAAAAAATGTTCATGTATTATTTTTGTCCAAAGGAGCCTCTAAAGCATTCCACCAGTGATCAGTAGATCACTGATGCCATGCAGGTCTCCTGCAGACCTGTCAGAATATCTGCTAGCTATACAGAATGTATGGGCAAGCAGATGTTTTGACAGGAAGCTTGAATGAACTACCACGGCACTCCACAGCACCATGGTAGTTCATTGAAAACTACAAGCCGACAGCCGCTAAGGCTGCCGGGAATTGTAGGGAATCATTCACAGAACTCTGTGAATGAATGACGTGGCCATGTGGGTTGAGCCCCGCACGGCCACATTGTTTTCAAATCTGACAGATAGTACAGAGAAATTTCTCCCCGTATTATCTGTCAGAAGGAGGGGGGGGTGGGTGGGTGCAGCTATGGGAACATATTACATCTTCTACACACTAAAAACGGGTGGAACATGTAACATTTTCCAAAGGTCAACTTATCCTTTAATGCTATGGAACACTGAGGTGGTCCTTAAACAAACTTGACACAACCAGCACTTTTTTGATCTTCTGCGGCTCAAACAATATCAGGACGAAATGCTTTAGTAGATGTGTCTTACATATTTGTTTGAACACACATTACATCTGAAAAATCTGCTGTAGCCATGTTGTACTTAGTATAGCTGGTTTCCATATAATGTCTCTGGACTATCTGGTGATATATCTACTACTGTCTCTAAAGAGAGCTTTATCTTATGATCTTTTAACATTATGCTAGCTTTCAGGAACAGTTAAGTCATATGTTACAATGTCATCTTTAACAATATCTACTGTCATTCATGTAAATTTTGCAGTATATGCATTATGGTTTCTGCTCTTAAGAAAATGTACTTGACACCTCTTTTTGTATATTATGCTTACGTTATCTATTACACCAGTACTTAATAGTATCGATAGGCAACCTAAACACAAAGGGGAAATGTACTAAGACTGGAGCAAACCGAATATGGGGTAGCTGTGCATGGCAACCATTCAGCTTTTATGTTCAATTATCAAAACTTAACAGAACAGACTCAAGATGGAAGCTGATTGGTTATCATGTACAACTGCTCCAGATGCTGCCTACTACAGTTCTGATCCTGAGCCTCTAATGCAACCTTGTTTAAACCTGTAAGCTGCACCTCTAATTGGTAAAGTTGGGAGTAAAAAAAAAAAAAAAATTAAAAAAAGGTGTGGAAACTGAAATGTTACTGTTGTGTGAAATGTTTATGGGCACACAAAGGAATAAAGGAAAGGTTCTTTGAAAGCTTAAAAATCCCTTGTATTGGCTTATAATGGAGAACAAATGAAGCAATAGAATAGCTGCCTCTAATTGGCCTCTTTTCAAAAGTTATAATCCATGCAGTTCATCGACTATCAATGATTTCTGAAACTATTTAAGCATATGATAATGTAAATTGCTGTGTTGTTATTAAAGATAGCTCAATTACTATAATTACTGTATAATAATAATAATTTAAGAGCAAGCCATGTGGAAATCCAGATGATTCCTAAAGTATCTGTGCCCTCACTATGTATATTAAACTATTTCCATATTCTCAACATGCAATAAAAGATCTTTAAAACAAAATCATAACTTACAGCTCTAGCTGCTTTTAATGTGCAGCTATTCATGCTATCGCAACAAAGACTCTAAAGTCAGTTAATACTTGCTTAACTAGTTGCCGACCGCAGATAGCCGAATGACGGCTGCACTGCGGCCGGCCATTCTGGGTGGACATATGACGTCCTCCCAGAACGCGCTCTCCTGCGCGCCCCAGGGGGCGCGCACCCGGCGATCTTCGTGATTGCTGTGTCCTACGGACACAGCTGATCACGTGATGTGGTAAAAGGCCAATCACAGCGGCCTTTTACCACGTGATCAGCGTGTCCAATGACACGCTGATCACAGGGAAATGCAATTGCCGGTTTCTCGGCTGCACTTTCCTCACGCTGTCAGATCGTGAGGAAAGTACTGCCGAGAACCGGCAGTTGTCAGAGCGAAAATCATCAGGGCACTGATGATCAGTGCCCTGAATGATCGGTGCCCAGCAGTGCCACCCACAAGTTCCGCCTACCTGTGCCCAGCAGTGCGCCCACTAGCTCCGCCCACCTGTGCCCAGCAGATCACCCACCTGTGCCCAGCAGTGCACCCACCTGTGCCACTCTGCAGTGTCACACACCTGTGCCTAGAAGTGCCACCTACCTGTGCCCAGCAGTGCCACCCACCTGTGCCCAACCACCTGTGCCCAAGTGCAGCCCAGCAGTGCTGCAGTCAGTGCCACCAGTCAGTGCCCATCGGTTGTGTGCCAGTCAGTGCTGCCAGTCAGTGCCCAGCAGTGATGCCAGTCAGTGTCGTCTATCAGTACCCATCATCAGTGCTGCATATTAGTGCCGCCTATCCGTGACAACTCAGTGCTGCTATCAGTGCCGCCTATCCGTGCCACCTCATTAGTACTGCCTATCAGTGCCCTTTAGTGCTGCCTATCAGTGCCCATCAGTGCCGCCTATCAGTGCCCATCAGTGCTGCCTCATCAACGCACATCAGTGAAGGAGAAAAAATTACCTGTTTGAAAAATTTTATAATCGAAACAAAGAAACTTTTTTTTTTTTTTCAAATTTTTTGCACTTTTTTTGTTTATAGCGCAAAAAGTAAAGCAGGCTTAAATACCACCAAAAGAAAACTCTATTTGTGAGAAAAAAATGATCAACATTTCATATGGGTACAATGTTGCATGACCGCAATTGTCAATCAAAGTGCGGCAGCACTGAAAGCTGAAAATTGGCCTGGTAAATAAGGGGGTATAAGTGCCTGGTGGCAAGTGGTTAACCTACTGTGTGTTTATACAATAGGGGCAGCAAGCTGCTCTCCATAGAAAATACATGAGATTTCAGTGCCTGTCAGACAGGGCCAGATATAGCCTGTGTGATGGGGGCGTGCATTAAAAATGTCAGGGGACAAAGGACAGGAGGTCAGCAGTCTGTAGGGCCATGCACAGGGCATTAGTTTGTAGAGCAGTGTACAGGGGTCAGCAGGGTAGAGGACAAGGTCAGTTGTAAGTGAGGTAGAGTTCAAAAGTCAGTAGTAGGTAAGGCAGTGTTCAGAGGTCAGTAGTAAACCAAGATGAACTATGCTCACCTTGGCTCCAGCAATGCGCTGTCAGGTAGCTCCCCACCTTCAAGCAGCCAGGTTCTAGGTATAGAACAGCAGCTGCTTTCATTGGCTAAGTGGGGATGATGTCACTCCGACACATACAAGGCAGTTACATTGGCTTCAGCTTTGCCAAATTTCTACAGTTTACTGCACGTGTGTGGCTCACCGTACAGGGGCAGACAGGCAGGTAATTTTAATGTAGCAAGACAAAGCATATAAAATCCTGCTGGTTTTCCCATTTTTATGTACTACCTAAAGTTCCACTTTAATGACACCCCAAATACAGGTCACAAACGCAATGTGCTTGCCTGCACTGGTTTGCATGGCATCATTCATTCGTGTTGCTCTGTGTTGAATAAAGTTGTACATGCACTACTGTTGTGGTGATCCAGAGCACTTTCAGCCCATTTAAATAATTGGGCTGAAATCACACTGAATCTGGATAGCATGTAAATCACACAGGAGTTCCTATGCAAATCATAGTGTGAATGGGCCCTTAAAGCGGTAGTAAAGGTCTTTAACCACTTGCTTACAGGGCACTTATACCCCCTTCCTGCCCAGGCCAATTTTCAGCTTTCAGCATCATCACCCTTTGAATGACAATTGCGCGGTCATGCAAGGCTGTACCATATGAAATTTTTATCATTTTTTTGAGACAGATAGAGCTTTCTTTTGGTGGTATTTTTTTTTTTATTTTTTGCTAAACAAACCAAAAACAACTGAAAATTTTGCAAAAATAAACTTTTTTCTTAGTTTTTGTTATAAAATTTTGTAAAGAAGTGATTTTTCTCCTTCACTGGTGTGTGCTAATGAGGCTGCAGTGATGGGCACTGATAGGCTGCACTGATGAGTAGGCACTGACAGGCATCACTGATGGGCACTGAAAGACAGCACTCATATATGGCACTGACTGGCAGCTCAGATGGGAACTGGTAAGCACTATGTGGCATTGATGGACACTGACAGGTGGCACTGCTGGGGCTACACTAATCATCAGGGCACACTGATTATCAGTGCCCTGATGATCAATGTACATGTCCCCTCTGAGGAATGCCGATTACCGGCTCTCCTCTCCTCACAAGCTGTCAGAGTGACAGCTCGTGAGGAGAGAAATGCCAATAACCGGCATTTCCTTATTTACATGTGATCAGCTGTGATTGGACACAGCTGATCACATGACCGAGCCGACGTCTTCTGCTTTTTCCATTGAACAGCTGTGTCCGAGGGACACAGTGCACCACCGATCGCTGCATGCCCCCGGAGCCGCGCACACGCAGTTAGTGGGAGGACATCATTTGAGAGAACCGCCTTGCGACCGTCATTTCCTTATATGGCGGGCAGGAGGCAGTTAAAATAAAGTCCACCTGCGAGTTATGTTATAATGTGCTAGTATGCACTGCATAAGAGCACATTATGGCATACTTACCTTAAAATAAAGCCCTCCAGCAGTGTGCTGTCACCACTGGCAGGGCTTCCTTCTTTATCTAGTCTTCCTTCCTGACCTTTGCTGCAATCTAAAAATCAATACATCCAATCAATCCAAACGGACCAGCTGTCCGTTTACATCCGGCCGCCCATACAGCAGAGCAGGCTGTGTCCGTGTCCGCTCTATATAAATGGAGCAGACGCGAACCTATCAGCCACCTGCTTTGCTCAGTGGGGTAACAGGAGGACAGCCCAACCCCCCCCCCCCCCCCCCGTGAGCTAAGCAGAGACAAATGTTGCTTTAAGTGTGTGTGTGAATGTATGTACAACAAGTGTGTATGTACGTACAAGTGTATATACACTTCTCCAAAAAATTAACGGGACAATTTGAAAACACATCAGATCTCAATAGGGAAAAATATCATGCTGGATATCTATACTGATGTGGACTGGGTAATGTGTTAAGAATGTAAGGATTCATCCCCATCGCTGGGGAAATGGAAAATGAAAAATGGTCAACCTACAGAGGACTGAATTCAAAGTTACCCCGAAAATCAAAGTGAAAAGATGATGCAGCAGGCTAGTCCACTTTTTTTAAATTTCATTGCAGCAACTCAAAATGGTACTCAGTAGTTTGTATGGCCCCCACGTGCTTGTATGCATGCCTGACAATGTCAGGGCAAGCTCCTAATGAGATGACAGATGATGTCATGGGCTATTTCCTCCCAGATCTGAACCAGGGCATCACTGAGCTTCTGGACAGTTTGAGGTGCAACCTGGCGGTGTTGGATGGACCGAAACATGATATCCCAGAAGTGTCCTATTGGATTTAAGTCAGGAAAACGTAGAGGCCATTCAATGGTATCAATTCCTTCATCCTCCAGGAATTGCCTGCATACTCTCGTCACATGAGGCCGGGCATTGTCGTGCACCAGGAGAAACCCAGGACCCACCGCACCAGCATAGGGTCTGACAATGGGTCCAAATATTTCATCCCAAAACCTAATGGCAGTCAATGTGCCATTGACTAGCCTGTAGAGGTCTGTGTCTCCCTCCATGGATATGCCTCCCCAGACCATCACTGACCCACCAGCAAAACGATCATGCTGAACAATGTTACAGGCAGCATAACATTCTCCTCTGCTTCTCCAGATCCTTTCACGTCTGTCACATGTGCTCAGGGTGAACCTGCTCTCATTTGTGAAAAGCAAAGGGTGCCAGTGGCAGACCTGCCAATACTGGTGTTCAATGGCAAATGCCAATCAAGCTCTACAGAGCCCACTAGAAGATGTCGGGCCCTCAGGCCACCCTCATGAAATCTGTTTCTGATTGTTTGGTCAGAGGCATTCACACCAGTGGACTGCTGGATGTCATTTTGTAGAGCTCTAGTAGTGCTCATGCTGTTCCTCCTTGCACAAATGAGCAGATACCAGTTCTGCTGATGGGTTAAGGACCTTCTACGGTCCTGTCCAACTCTCCTAGAGTAGCTGCCTGTCTCCTGGAATCTCCTCCATGCTCTTGAGACTGTGCTGGGAGACACAGCAAACCTTCTGGCAATGGTACATATTGATATGCCATCCCGGAGAAGTTGGACTGCCTGTGCAACCTCTGTAGGGTCAAAGTATCGCTTCATGCTACCAGTAGTAACACTGACCCTAACCAAATGCAAAACTAGTGAAAAACAGTCAGAAATGATGAGTAGGGAAAAAAATGTCAGTGGCCTCCACCTGTAAAACCATTCCTGTTTTGGGGTCATCTCATTGTTGCCCATCTAGTGCACCTGTTGTTAATTTCATTAATAGCAAAGCAGCTGAAACTAATTAACAACCCCCTCTGCTTCTTAACTGATCAGATCAATATCACAGGAGTTTAATTGACTCGATGCTATATTCTGATTAAAAAGTGTTTCTTTAATTTTTTGAGCAGTGTATGACAATCTTCTGTAGTAATAAAGAAAAACAAACAAAAAAACAAAAAGAAATACTTTATAGTACATGCAGTTTTTGAAATACAATATTACATCACTTATAAAGTGTAAAACTAGTACACTGAATTTAAACTAAACGCAATATCTTTGGGACAAGTGGGTTAAGTGCTAGAGGAAAGTCCAAATATGACCATAATATTATTTCTTAGTCAGTCCATTAGTTTTTTTCTACAAGATATTGTAAATTTTTGCCATATACTAGTAGCAGTTCAATCAAAATTTTTCATTTTCAGAATGGTTGTTCCATTTTCTAAACATTGGGGTCACATTGTTCTTCATTTCCAACAGTAATGAGTACATTTGAAGGAGCAGGATAGAAAATTCTTCTCGAACAAACTGAATTCTAACAGTGTATGTGGTTTTCATTCAGGAAATGTAATTTACTCCAAAATTAAATGTGAAAAGCAAATGCAAATTTTGAAGTACATTGGAATGACAGTCATGAAGTCAACAAATGCACTGAGAATTCTCGTACGATTGTTTGTAGAAATGTTCAATTGAAAATCTATTACTGTTTACCCAGTTTAGGATTATTAGGATGCGAACTGCTTGCTAACCAGTTTAGAAATCTGAAATACTGATCATTAACAGGGATTGTTTATCGTGATCGCGTCTATTAAACCTATTCTGATGACAAATGTTTTAAAAAAATGGTATTTAGAAATGGGAGCACCTTCACAATCCATTTTCTGTTTGACTTTATTGAACTAATTACACCCCAGCTTGCATTTTACAGCCCAGCCTAGTCATAGCAAATGGAAGAGAGCTGGTCTTGTGGCTTTGACTGGCATTTTCCCCCCTCTTTTAACAACTTCCATTTCACTTTTATAGAGCTCCGCTGCCTTTGTGTGGAGCTTTTTTTTTTTTTTTTTTTAAAGCCACTGCATACTTGCAGTACAGCCATGTACAGCAAGCCAGATCATACCTTAATCAAATAATCCTTCTGTCAGAGCACACAAAATATTACAGGCTATGGGCAAAGTAGGCATGTCTCCTCACTTTATAACACTTGGTGTTTGTGGAACCAATCAGCAGGTCCAAGCATTGTCATGCGCCTGGCGGTAAAGCTCATGCAAATACCATTTCTCAGAAACTTAGTTTAACTAATCTCAATATTATCAGATACACTTCAAAGTTTTAACTTTAAAAAAAATATAAAAAATAATATCTGACAAAATACTGCAAACAGAAACAAGACTTCAGATTTTTTTTTACCAACGTTCATGTTTGAACCCAATTTATTTGGCAAACCAGACAGTTTTCCTGACACTGACAAATGAGAAGCATTCTGGTATCCCTCTGACAAAGCTTGTTTTAGGGACTCAGCTAAATATGATATTATGGTCATATGAAATCATCAGCTAGTTGCCTAGTGCATCATTTGCAATACATTGATTTCAGACATCTATGAACAGAAAGATGATAGATCTTAAAGAAGAACTATCCTTACAAAATATTTATATTGTCCTACCCACCATTTAGTCCTGTGTCCCATGTAACTAGAAGCTTCCCAAGACTAGTTATGAAGTCCAAAATGCCTCTCTCCTCAGAGGCAAATCCAAAAATAGCTTGGAAGAGATAGATCTATCTTAACTGCAGCTCGTCTCTGCTCAGGGCATTTTTTTTTTTTTTTTAAAACAAGCTGCGGTAAGAATGCAGAGAAACAGGAGGCTGACATACTCCCCCTTGGAACCCATAATATGATGCCACCAGCTGGAAGTTTTTTGGTACATTGCCTGTTGTTTTACTTACTAAATGTGAGTGCATTTTCATGTTATAGAAATACTATATTTGGAGCAGCCCACTCTCCCTTTGGTTTCTGTCTTTTGCACCATATTTTTATATCCCGACGAGGCCATCCACCAGGAGAAGCTCCCTATCCACCCTCCATACATCTCTGTTGGGAACCCCACTTGCTGGAAACTTTGAGCAATACCTGTGTTACACCAGCTCTATGTGAGTGCATCTCTTAATTTTTGTACATTGCCTTTGTAATGTTTATGAAATGTGTTGGCCTTGGACCCTTTGTTTCTTGGGTAAATTTTTACAATAAAGCATTGTTGCCCAAATGCCAGGGGTATGAGAGGTGACTTGATATCACTTCTCTAGGCCAAAGGAACAGCCATAAGATATTCTGCTGTGAGCAAGATAAAAACTTGTTTATGGAAATTGAACATGTTTATGACATCTAGTATGTCACATTAGAAGATAAAAACCTGTTTAAAGACGTCTACTTGCTTGATAAGTTAGAAATCCTTAAGTTTGGGGTAGATGAGTAGAAGTTTAGGGTAGATAAGAACCAAAAGTGCTACTTTTCCGATAACGAATATGGTGGGGGTGAACGTGACGGACTTTATCCTCATGGAACCCTTCTGCTAGCTCCTCCCGTGGTGGGTGTGGCTATTGGACAGCTTCCAGAAAATTGGTTTAAAAGCTGGAGGGTCCAGGCAAGACCAGGAGGAAGCCCCCCCCCCCCCCCAGTGGCCAGAGGACGCTCTGACGCTGGGATTTGTGCCAAGGCTATATGGGTTCATCAACTGGTTGCACCTAGGGCTTCCCCCGTGACCCCCTGGGCAGTATGGTTCTGAAGGGATTTCCTTTCAGCTTCTAACATAGCTTTGGTAATGTATTAATTTAAAGCTGCTGTCAAATGATGTGTCTATTCCATGCTGTAATGCTCACATTATTATTGGTGTGTGTTAGAGATTGTGATGACTATAAGATATATCCTCCTGTACGTCGTGTGATTATAAAAGTGGAGGTTTTG